GGTGGTGAACCAAGACAGCAACCCCAGCCTCCCAAGCACAGCGAAATGCCTCCACCGCGGCTACCTGCGTCTGCTACTTGGAGCGGTGCTATTGGCACAAGCCCAAGTCCCGCCAAGAGTGGGAGTCGACCATCCCTTGATTTCGGGCGCCGCAAACCCTCTGCAACAGCAGTTGCAAGCGATACAGAGGTTGAGAAATTAAGTGCTCGTAAGCCCGTAGGGAATGCTGGAACACGTGCGGTATCGGGCCACACAGACCAGGCTAATAGCCAGGCGACACAGAAGACAACGTCGATCTTGACACCGATGCAGCGAATGCTGGGTACGAAGAGCTCATCGAACATGCTCAAAGCTCGTAATCTCGATTCAAACCTCGATAGAGATGACATGTTGGCCGACGAAGAAATGAAGAAGCTTGCTTCGAAGCGGAAAGACTTCGAGCATGCGGCGCGCGACGTCGACGAGCTCCGTAAGCGCGCCACAGCCAAGGAGCGTGTCAGTCCAAGTGATGCTGTGCGCATGGCCAATTTGAACATATTCGAAAGAGGCGAGATCATCGATTACAAGGAGGTCTACTTCTGTGGAACAAAGAACGCCAAGAAGCACGTTGGTGATCTGAATGCGCAGACCGCAAACTTTGGCTATGACGACGAACGTGGCGATTACAACATCGTCTTGGGGGACCATCTCGCATACAGATACGAAGTTGTTGATGTTCTTGGCAAGGGCAGCTTCGGACAGGTCGTGCGTTGCGTAGACCACAAGACGGGAGGGCTCGAAGCGATCAAGATCATTCGTAACAAGAAACGGTTCCATCAGCAAGCTCTGGTCGAAGTCAACATTCTTCAGAAGCTACGCGAATGGGTAAGAAAGATGCATTCAGTACACAGAGTAAACTTGCTAACGATATCCAGGACCCCGATAACAAGCACAGCATGATCAACTTCACCCAGAGCTTCTACTTCCGTGGCCATCTTTGCATCTCGACCGAGCTTCTTGGCATGAATCTGTACGAGTTCATCAAGGCACACGAGTTCAAGGGCTTCTCCCTACGCCTAATTCGCCGATTCTGCAAACAGATGCTGGCTTCGTTGACCCTCTTGAAGACCCAGAAAGTCATCCATTGTGACTTGAAGCCGGAGAATATCCTGCTTGCGCATCCGCTTCACTCGGAAATCAAGGTCATCGATTTCGGATCCAGTTGCTTCGAAACCGAGAAGGTCTATACTTACATTCAGTCGCGATTCTACCGATCGCCGGAGGTCATTCTCGGCATGAGCTACGGTTTGCCAATAGACATGTGGAGTTTGGGTTGCATCCTTGCGGAGCTGCTCACCGGTTACCCCATATTCCCTGGAGAGAACGAACAGGAGCAGCTTGCTTGCATCATGGAGATATTCGGACCTCCAGAGAAGCACCTCATCGAGAAGAGCAGCAGGAAGAAGTTATTCTTTGACTCCCTTGGCAAGCCCAGAGTCACTGTTTCCTCAAAGGGCCGCAGGCGACGACCCAGCTCGAAGACACTGCAACAAGCCCTGAAGTGTGACGATGAGGCCTTCCTTGACTTCATCACGCGCTGTCTGCGTTGGGACCCCGAACGTCGAATGAAGCCCGATGAAGCGATGCAGCATGAGTTCATCACTGGCGTACGCAAAACCAATCAACAACGACGACCATTCAACGCCCCGTCCGGCACGTCTTCACCTGCGAAGCGAATGCCGCCCCCACAGTCGGCACAGCCACGCGTCCGACCTCTTCCCGAACCTCCCGTGTCTAGCTTCAGAAACGGGACCGCAGCCAGCGGACAACGTCAGGTGTCGAACAGCAACTCACCTGTGAAAACTTCTGCTCCCGCCAGACGCCACTCCACCGTGCAAGGACTTGCACCTGGAACAGCAGGTACTAAGCGTGCAGCAAACGGAGCGCCACTCAATGGCGCAGGTGGAAGTGGACTGCCGCGCGCAGCACAGCGCAGTGTGTCAGGCAAACCAGACCTCGCTTCGGCGGCAGCTATTGCCAGTCTCGTAAGTTCAGAGCATCCCGGCCAGCTTGATATCGATGAGACGCTAACAAGGCTTCAGAAAACGCACACATAACCTTACGAAACCGAGAGATATTCTCAATATAGATTAACGATTACTGGGCATCTCATGAGGTTTCTACTATCTAATATGGGGTCTACCCCGCTGGCGGCTTCGGGGTTGGGGCTGATCCAGACTTTTGTGCAGATGTGGTTGCGAATGTTTATGTTTTCCCATTCAGCGACGTTATACCCCCGAAAAAGTCTCTCTTTGGAGCATATTTTCAACAAGGTGTATTGATTGGTTTATTGGATAGGAGGGAGGATATTGAATCTTGATATGAACAGCATTCTAGGGCGTTGTAGCAAGATAGACATCTTCTAGATATCGTAATGTGAGGGGTGCTGGGTCGTATGGAGTCGAGTATAAGCATTGCCTATTTGCTTGAATGCATCGGTGATGGCGAGCTGCAGCCTTATGTGATATCAGTGCGTTATCGATAAGGGCGGTCGCGAATTTGACAATGTTGGCTTTCGCACCGCAACCACCAGCACTCGACTAGCCTTCTTTAATACCCCCGTTCTTCCTTCTTTACATTCCTTAGACATGCCTCGCGACCCGCTAATCGGCCTCGTCGGCAAGCCTTCGTCCGGCAAGTCGACCACACTGAACAGGTGCGCAATGCCCCTCCACCCCTCTTTCGCGGATCTTTCTAAGACGGATTTCATGGCAGCTTGACAGATGCTACCTCCAAAGTCGGTCCGTACATGTTTGAATACGCTGGGAGCTATGTAGGCTGATTATGAGTAGGTAACTTCCCGTAAGTCATCCCTCTCCGATCCATGGAATGCGACTGCGCAGCGCACACCGCGCTCGATTCTCCGTATCGTCATCTCCTAATGCTACAGCCAGATTCACCACCATCGACCCCCAGCGCGCCATCGGCTACCTCCAGATCGAATGTCCATGCGCGCGCCTCGGTCTCGCTGATCGCTGCAAACCCAACTACGGCGGTTGTGTCGAAGGACGGCGATCGGTCCCTATAGAACTGCTCGATGTTGCCGGGCTCGTACCAGGCGCGCACATGGGAAAAGGCCTCGGAAACAGGTTCTTGGACGACTTGCGACATGCAGATGCGCTTGTACACGTGGTGGACGTGAGCGGAACAACAGACGCGGAGGGCAAGGCGACAAGAGGCTACGACCCAAGTCAAGACATTGTCTGGCTGAGGAGCGAGATTGTGCGATGGATACAAGGCAACCTGATGGAGAAATGGGGCAGTATCAAGAGGAGACATGTCGCTATCAAAGCCACGGCAGTCGAAACACTACAGAACCAGTTCTCAGGTTACGGATCCACGTCGAGCGTCGTTGCGCGCTGTCTCGATCGCCTCGCCCTCAAGGAGCCACTACAAGACTGGTCAAACGAAACCATCGAACGAGTCGTAAACGCCTTCACCGACGAGAAGTTCCCTACCGTCATCGCCCTCAACAAGATCGATCATCCCGACGCCGACAAGAACATTGCGAAGATTGCGAAACAAGTGGATGCCAAGAGCATAGTGCTTTGCAGCGCGATATCTGAAGTCTTTCTGCGGAAACTAGCGAAACAGGGCTTCATCAAATACACAGAGGGCAGCGAATTTGTCGATACAAGAGAAGACCTGATTGAGCAGGGCGACCCCGATGGAGGCGGATTAAAGGAGCTGGACGAGAAGCTCACAACACGAATCGAAAACCTCAAAGACATGGTCCTTTACCGCTTTGGCAGCACAGGCGTTGTACAAGTCCTGTCGCGAGCGGCAGAACTCCTCGGTCTGGTTCCAGTCTTCCCGGTCCGCAACATTCACGCGTATACCAGTGGTAGTGCGAGCTCGACGGCTGTCTTTAGAGATTGCGTGCTTGTTAAGAAGGGTAGCACGGTCGGTGATGTGTATAGGAAGGTCATGGGTGATGCGCCGATGGCGTATGTCGAGACGGAGGGTGGGAGGAGAGTGGCGGAGGATGATGTTGTTGCTGTGGGAAAGAATGATGTGAGTATGATATGAATGTGCAAGTAGACGAGTCGCTAACAAGGTGCAGATATTGAGCTTCAAGGTAGGAAGGGCATAGTTAGGCCTAGTCAAGGTCTAGTCGAGATTACATCGGAGATGCGCATAGTGTCTGGCAATCGATGAACTTGAGCGGTACAACTTGTCCTAAACTGATAAATCTTACTGCACCTGCATTGATAAAACTGTGACTCCCTGTGTTTGTGCATCTCTAGATAGACAGTGTAACGGATATCTACCGAGTAAAAACAATTGCGCGTTGTGTTATTGTGACGATGTTCTCTATACTTCGTGTTTCCCCGCTACACGCTAGCATCGCAGCCACGCACATCCTCAGCCAGAAAAAAAAAAAGCTCCAAACCCCATCCTCCCCTCGAGCACTCTCACACGTCAGCACCAACGCCCAGCAAAAAGTAATCCTCCTCCGGGAAGGCTCGAACTTCCAACCTCCTGATAACTAGCTACTGGTGTAGTAACAGTCAGACGCGCTAGCCAATTGCGCCACAGAGGATTATCGAAATGCGCTGTTGCACTTCTTGATGGAGGATTCTGAAAATTGCATCGTACTAATTGCCTGGCAAACTTCACGTGCCCGTGTTTGAGGCACTTGAAGCGAGCAAACATCGGCAGCATCGGGGATATGTATGTTATAGTGGGGGATCTTGTGGGTCTTGCTCGCTTACCGGAGCATAGAACGGCAGTGATGCTCTGATAAGCGTGGTATTGTAATTTGTTTGATAGTATTGCTACTGAGTTTGTCTGCTACGATGACGAGAGTGGGTATAATATGAAATAAAGGAATTACCGCCGTACCCTCCCCTGGTATGGGTCCAAAGAAGCACCTGCTCCGCGCGCTATGCAGTAAAACATGTAGTTAGGAAAACCATGATTCCAGGCCCGTCCTTGGCCATTGTCTCCTCGGTACGTGCCTAGTTACTCTTCCGGCCGCGTTTCTTCTTCTGCTCTTTTGAAGGTGTCTCGCCCGCTGCGGCTCCTTCGATCTTGAATTCGTCGCTCTCGAGGTCAAAGACGCCCCGCAGGATACTGTATGTGAAGAAGTCCTTTGTGTAGCATGTTATTCCTTCTTTGATCAGTTTTTGTGCCTCCACATCATCTTTGTCTGCAGCGAGGGCAATGGTATTTCCTGTCTTCTTGAACTTCGTCGCACCAGTCGTCACGCTCGTCGCGCCCGCGGCTTTGCAGACAGCCTCAATGTCAGAGAATGAAGATGCGTATCTCGTCTTGAGGCTTTTCGTAAAGTGAACAGCGAAGTTGGCGAACGGAGTTTGCGGCTTTTCGAGGATGTCGTCAAGCTTGATCTTCCACTCCTCTTCTTGCTTAGGTATGGATGGCTTGAAAGCGGAAACGGCAAGCAGGCGCTTAGCTGATGCAGATTCCAATAGCCATTGGTCTGTAACGATAGGAATGCCGCGTGCGATTGCGTAAAGTACTTTTGTTGTCTTTTGGAGATCACCATCTCGTACGCTTTGATCGGTTAGCATGGTGACACAACAGCAAAGACAGTGTAGTACTTACCATAGTACATTGAAGTCATCAGCCAGATTCTCTACAAACGCTCCACCTTGTTTCTTCAGGAACTTGACAGCCGCACTTGCTTTCGTAATGGTGGAGTTGCTGCAGGCTACACGGGAAACCGGGCCATCGTAGTCCTCTCTAACTGTAGTAGTAGATATGGATCGTTGCGAACCCCTCTGCGATCGTGGTGGGGCGGACTGTTCGGGCTGAGCAACGTCGACGTTGCTCAGGCGACTGTCTTCTGTGTCGCTATCGCTTGTTTTGGCGCGCTTGCTAGGCCCAGCAAATGCCCCGTTGTCAGACTTGGATGCATCTGCGTCCGCCTCATCGGCTAGGGACCGTGTTCGTTTCTTAGCTGACCTCGATGGTATGTGTACTCGCGGTGAAGATGTTCTAGCATTCAGAGGCAGCTGTGGTTGCATCTGATCCTGTGCCTCGCCAGTACGGGCGGTCGAGAAGGCCTCTGCTTCCTGAACGTCTGCTTCGTAAATATCTGTAACATTCCCTGTACGCGCAGCGGTTGGGGTCTCCTGGATCACAGTAGTTGATCGTTGATTCGAAAGCTGAGGGGTTGCGCGAGGTTGTGACTTTGCTACATTGACAGCGGGATCTTTCGTACCATCGCCCTCGCTCTGGGCTTCTTCAGGTGTCACCGCGATTCTCATAGCGTCAGCAGCCGATGAGTTGACCTGGACCTCTGAGTCTGTCCACTGACAAGTCAGGTAAGATTGAGAGTTTGGAACATGGATCTGATCGCCATGACGCAGGAATATTGTTTCTGAGCGTCCGTCACTCTGTGGTTGCAACTCGTATCTAGCCGATGATAGACTGTTGGCGTGTGCTTGGCCAGGCAAGATGCTTAATGAAGCTGTAATGGCTTCCAGTTTGACGCCACATGGCCCAGAATCTACCATAGTCAGTGGATGTCTCAAGCCTCTTCGGCGAACCTACCGATGCGACCGAGCTCAGGTATGATTGTAGGCGCTGCTATAATGCGAACCACGCCAGGATGTACGTTGTTGACGATGTGTACTGTTCCTTTTTCCGGCAGGGCGTACTCCGAGGACCCCGGCGCTCCCGTAGTATGTGACGAGATCAATGTCCACATCCTGGGCCGGTTGACGCGTCGTGGCGGTTGCTTGATCGCGAATGTTGGATTTAACGCGTGGTCACGTTTGCGGAAGGAGCAGCCCTGGAGCTGGGCTAGCGGTGACGCGCATAATAAGTGGGGCTATCTACTGATTCGCCACTCACGCTCACGCTTACCTTCCCTTTCAATGTTCTGCCTGCCAGCCGTACGCCGCTACCTCCTCTGGTTACAGCAAGGATATGGATTCGAAGGACGATACCTGTACAACGGTAACTCGTGTACTTAATTTGGTAGCTGTGCATCTCAACTACCGTTGGTCCCAGTTCTCACGAACACCGCCGCCCAACAGTCTCAAAGCTCAGACAGTCGAAGATGGGGAACAATAGTAAGGAATTCGCGCTATCTCATCACAACCATCGCACACTGCAAACAGCGCATCTAGCAATTATCCAACTCACTATGAGCGACTCTGCGACTCACTGTAAGACAGGAGAAGAGTGCCAGCGGCGAGCATTGGTCAAGCGTTTACAGATCGAGGCGAGTATCCGGACGCATGCAGGTGAAGGGACCATGGAACAATAGTAAGGGCTTCAAGTAACTCTAAGACCTCAACTTCGCCTTCGCTTTGGCTAGCTATAGTTGTGAGTGGGGATATCGAAACAATCGCATGCTGCCGCTGCTATTATCCGCTCGGGATCCGAAAGCCATCACTCCCCGTCACTTTCTCGATGACCCTGCATGCCACCAATCTGCAGCGCGGAACAGACCTTGCCATCTAGCTATTATATAACGCTGATATAAACGACACAGCTTCGACTTTCGTCGCTGCTGGACTCCTTCATTCCTTCTTCAACCTCCAGTACTTTCTATCATTCTTCCAAATTGTCACCTCGAGCCCCAACTCCGTCAGACTCTGTTCGTCTCTGAACCTACGGCCAAACAGCACTATCTCTATAACCTCTAAAGACTGCTAGCAGTAGGAGCCGTTATGGGACCTGACGACTTCCACGCCGTTGACCTCCCGTCCAACTTCCAGGTTCCGCCCGGCTTCGAGCCATGGACTCAAAACTTCACCCTCATCGTGCCGGTTGTGATGGGCGACGAATCCAAATGGGCAGTCACCACAGTCAACATGGCGGATGTCAACTATTGGAGCGTGAACACCGCCCGCCTTGCTACCAGTAATGGGGTAGGTCTTGGTGTATCGATCATGCTTCTGGTTGTTCTCGTCCTCTTGACCAAGGCTGAGAAGCGGAAGTCCTTCATCTTCTACCTCAACACCGCTTCCCTCTTCACCAACACCATCCGCTGCCTGCTTCTCGCCATGTATCTTAGCAGCACCTGGAACGACCCTTACAGCGATGTTACCCCATACTCACCACCCCTGACTAATGCGGACTGGGCTATCTACGTCTTAATCAACGTTTTCAGTCTTATCGTCGCTATCCTAGTCTACGCTTCACTCAGCCTCCAAGTCTGGATCGTATGCGTCACTACACCACCTCTACATCGCACCATCATCATGGGTGCAACCACCACAGTGGCCTGCGCTGCTTTTGGAGTCAAGTTCGCTTTCGTCTACCTGAATACCAAATACGCATTGGACAATGTGGATCCCGATTCTCTGGCAGCACTGAACGGGATGACCTACATCATGCAAACTATATCCATCTGGTTATTCAGTTGCGTGTTCACCTGGAAATTGGGGCATGCCATCCTCCAGAGGCGGCGTCTCAACATGCCTAGATTTGGACCGATGCAGATCGTCTTCATCATGGGCTGTCAGACAATGTCAATACCAGGTTCGTCTCTCTTTGCCACGCTGAACACTGAAATTTACTAACGTACGTGTAGCTATTTTCACATCTCTCCAATTTGTTGAGAGCATCCCCCCTGAGATTGTCTCCCACGTTCTCACAATCGTCTGCATCTTCCTTCCCCTCTCGGCTATGTGGGCGGGTGTTGCCCACGATCAAAACGCTACTCCCAGAGGCCTACGATCCACCAAGAACAAGCTCCATGGCAAGCCCGCAACGTCTACTTTGACGGACAGTTCCACCGCCTGTGGAAATAGTTCTCAGATGAGCTCGTGGTCGGATACCATGAACAAAGATCATATGAGCTCTGCCACTGCTCCCACATACCGTGACCACCGCACGAGCGTCGAGGACAACTGCATCCGGGTAGACCGCAAATTCGGTTTCTCGCACGAAGACGCCGCGGACCGAGTCTGATAGCGCGCAGCTGCACATCTGGCATGTATCGATTTCTTTGCAGCGCCTCGAAGATCATGCTTGATGGAGAATACTGAGTGTGTGTGGGGGGTTATTATGAAGCGGCACGAGTACACGGAGTCGGCGCAGCTTGCGTCGCGTGTGGTGCCCATGAAATCGGCAACGTACCCGGGGACCATGCGCGTCCCAACATTTGTGACACCGGAGACATGATTGGAGATGATATGGATAGCAGTTGGTGGATCTCCTACGTACGGTTGCTGCGTGTTACCTTATCTGTATCCTTAGCCATTTTTTACTTTCTCCAGCACCTTCTCTTAGCAACTAATACACTCGCTGCAGACCTTCCGCTCGCATTCATTGTTGTGATGACAGACTTTGTGTTCGCGCTGGGGTCAGGGTGTCATGGTAATTTGGTGCAAGCATCGGCAAGGTGTCACGACAGCTATTTAATATACGTGACGCCATGTCAAGGGCTGCAGTGACAAGGACTATCGTCGGACTCCGTACTTTAACATGCACAAATCGCTGTTAACCCCGATGCCGTACCGTGATCTTGCGATAAGGATACACATTCCTAGCTACAATTTCCGGCTATGGAAGCATCGTTCTCCGAGCGTCGTACATGTTCAAATCTATGATGGTACCGGCTTTCATCGCAAGGAAACGCTCTAGGAGTCTAAGGTTACGAGCAGCTTCGTATGGGGCAGCCCATTGGGTCTAGCGCAAAGCCCAAAACGATTCGGCTCATCGGGGGCAGGCACCCCGCTTGGTCTCTCTACGCCAATGATCACCCACGCCGACACGTCGCTCAGCGTCTGTTATGCGACTCATCGATCTCAGAACACTCGAGCTCAGATGGTTCAATGATGACTCTGTCCCAAAATACGCCATCCTTTCTCATACCTGGGGCGGAGATGAAGTCAACTACCAGGAATACGTCTGGATTAGCAGAGCTCGAGCATTGTCCGCTTCTACCAACTTAGCGTCGGCATCAACAGGCAACCAGGATGCGCGAACTACACTGATGTTGGCATTGGAGATGATGATTAGAGGTAGTTCCGAGATGCCTCTGGGAGGTTTATCGGAGAAAGACCTTATGACACGCGTTGGCTACAGCAAGATTGTGAACGCAGCTGAGCAGGCGCAAGGTCAAGGCTGTCACTATCTCTGGGTTGACACGTGCTGTATAGACAAGACATCAAGTGCGGAGCTACAAGAGGCCATCAATTCCATGTATCGCTGGTACCGAGATGCGGAGGTCTGCATTGTCTATCTGGGCGACATTCCCAAACCACGTCCAAACGGCTACACAACCGCTTCCGAGATTGCAAGATATTCACTGAAGTCTTCTCGGTGGACACGTCGCGGTTGGACCCTACAAGAACTGATTGCACCGGTTCTATGTCGCTTCTACTTTCAGGACTGGACCTTGATGGGCGAGAAGGTGGAGTTTCTGGAGGAGCTATCTGACGCCACTGGTATACCAGTTCGTGTACTCGACGACAGAAGTACTATTAGTGAGTTCTCTGTGGCGGAGAGGATGTCTTGGGCAGCACATCGGCAAAGTACTCGTGTCGAAGATGTTGCTTACTGCTTGCTCGGCCTCTTCGACATTCACATGCCCTTACTTTATGGAGAAGGTGCGAAGGCTTTTATTCGCTTACAAGAGGAAGTCCTAAGGACTACCGACGACTACTCCATATTCTCCTGGTGCGCAACTTCATCGGAGCGATCAACGTACCGGGGTTTGCTTGCGCGCCATCCCGAAGAGTTTCAACACTGCGGTTCTATCGAGCGCGAGAATGTCATTTCCACTTTCCCCATAGGCCTTACCCCTATCGGTCTACGTGTGCAGCTCGAATTCTTGCCTGACCCCAAAGACAAAAGTCGGGTCTTAGCCATGATACGGTCGAGCAACCAGCTCAACCAGCGCTTGGCCATCACATTGAAGTGCCTGGATGGTGGAACGCAATACGCGCGTGTTGATGCTGGCTCTTTGGCTTTCATCGACGATTGGCCTACTGGGAAGCTCCATACCATTTATGTACGGCAGAAGCTGTCCATACCACCTGATTTCACGACTACCGAATTCAAAAGCTTTCATATACGACGACGAGTTTCTAGTCACACTACGCCGACAGTTCGCATAATAAGTGTCACGCCTCGTAATTCCTGGGACGAAACCACCCACGAGCTACGGATACCAGGCAATGTTACGGAGTTCTGGGGGGCTGTTCTACTCCGGGTCCAATCAGCAGCGTATGCGCATTCTCTAAACTTCCCCGTCGCGTTCGGATTCAACCGGTCCACTTGTCATTACTGGTGTAAAGCCATTTCGGACTTTGACCCCTCGCAGGATGGTCAGGCCAGTGGGACCTGGCCACAAGCAGTGAAAAGAAGGATACCTGACGAAGTGTACGACCCATTGCGAGGAAATGACGCGCGAAATGATATGTTTTTGGTGCGTGATAGCGGGCTGGCCATAAATGTTGGCATCAAGGCAGGGTTGTGCGGCGATAGCATTGCATTGCAGGTACACATCGATGGACTTGTTAGATGGGCATGAGATGAAGCCCAAACTTAAACA